TCTAGATTATGCCGGCACTTGACATTCTGACGATCCCGATTCTCCAAGACTTCTACGTGACTAGAGCTCATATCGTTCCAGATATGCCATCCGATCTTCACCTTGATGAATGAATTGGTTTAGGAATCTACCCTTCGGCATAGATATCAGCTCTACAACCACTTATTTGTGTATTACCAGACAAGCTTGCTATCCAGGAATATTTTACGACGCTTCTCTGAGTCCTGTTACTACAGACTACTCGTATGTTTTTACAGCGCTATTCCAGTATCTCGGGTGCAGTCATGGCCTGGTTCGTCATCTTCATCACACTTCCTTTTACATCACCAGCAAGCTTCTGGACAGATGGGTCAAGTTTCTGTGCATGGTACCAGCAGTGATGTCTGTTCAAGTAGCGAGCATCCCTTTGCCGTTTTTTATGGGTTGTGACTCGCCCAGTTAACTGAAACCGTGTTGTCCGGATTTTTGTCACTGTTGCATTGTGGGTAACATTTGCAAATGGCGGACTACTGTTTGTTTACCGGAAAATTGTAATGTTTAGAGTGACAGAATTGTCTTGGTCCAACACAGCGGAAAACAACCCCAGCCTTTAATTGCCAGTGACGATGAACGGTTTCATTCCAGGTTAAGACTGATTATGTCGGGATTCGTCAGCCAGCCGAGAGAGACAGCTTACTGAGGGTGTTAGACAGAAATGTTCCAGAACGCTTCAACTTTGGCTAGGGTTACTCGGGTTTCTACTTTAGCCCAAACCCTCAGTTCAGAGGTCACTGCAGTTATGCCTGGATGGTCCCCAGGCTCCTGTTTTACTGCCTTCGTCTCCCCAACGAACGTTCCTGGGGTCGCCAGTCGTCTTTTACCTTCGTCATTCCATCAACTTTGTGAAAGTTCTGGTAGATTAACGATCCCCATGCATCTAGTCTACTACTTTTATCACTCCATCTGGTGGACCAACACTTCATTTGGTGAACTTACGTTCCTCAGATCACCGATTGTACGACCTTCATCACCCATTTACAATGTACACGTTTCTGTAGATTGACTGATAATCTCCATGCGCCGAATCTACTATATTCAGCACTCCATCAGTACTGGTAGTCATGGTAGCCTGACTATTTAAACGTTCCTACATCAGGAGATATCCCTTCATCAGTGGCAAGAGTTGCTAGGTTTCCTCAGCTCAGCTCAAGCCTTCACTTACAGATGACAACTTCAGGCACTTTTTCATCTTCGAAGCTATATTGATGATTGCATCCAGGCACAACAGGATCTGTCAGTACTTCTTCGCTAACTGCAGTTCACCACCATGCTGCTCTGGCAGTTAGGGTGGCTACTGAACATTGCTGTATCAAAGCTAACATTGATCCAGAGTCTCCACTTCATCGATATATTGTTCGACACCTGTCAGAGGGATGATATTCGCCCTTCAAGACAGGTGCATCAAGACCCAGCAATCCGTTCCTCCAGTGCTATCTCAGTGGAAGGAGCTTCTAGGCTTTCTGACGTCAGCTCAAGCCCCAGCGTACAGAGGGTAGCTTCAGCTTGGATGTTACAGCAATTTCTGCAATTTCCTTCAGGCTGTCAATCCCAAGGAATTGTTTTGTCTTCCAGAATCACTTCGTCCTGTCCTTCAATGGTGGCTAGATGAGCAGAATGTTAGCCTTCGCACCAACTCATCATTTGTTCCTCGACGCATCCCTCATGGGTTGAGGAGCTCACTTCTCGACCACCTAGTGGCTGGGCTGTGGTCATCTGGCGAACAGGTTCTTCACATAAATGAGCTGGAATTAAAGGCAGAACAGAGCTTCAATCAACCAGTTTATTGATCCAGTCGGACAACTCGACCATGGTTTGGAACATAAACCATCTAGGCTCGACAGGCTTGGCGAATCTCCTATAGTGGGCGATCAGACTTTTCAATATCATCGACTCACTCAACATCGTAGCCGGAGTAATATGTGATTGTTGATACCTTTTCCTGATCCAATCGGCTGTCCCCAACAGAGTGGAAGCTGCTTCCCCATATTTTCCAGTCGATGATCTACCTTTTATCACGGCCCCAAGTAGACATGTTCGCCACAAGGTTCAACAACCAACTTCTGGAGTTTGTATCACCAATCCCAGACTCCTGGCTTGGGACCTCGATGCGCTCCTGCTCTGCTACCATGAGTATTACAGAAGCTCTTGGCCACTAGCAAAGTTCTACTGCTTTTGGTGGCACACTTCTGGCCAGCAAGTAGTTGTTTCGTCGACGTAACAAGCCTGGCAGAGCCAAACTCAGTACCGCTTCCCGACCGGCACAACCTGCTTCTTCACCTTTACTCAGAACTATGCCACGGATCCCCTCAGACCCTTAATCTACATGTTGGCGCATCTCCAGAGATAACTCATTGCTTAGGCTACCTTTGCAAGTAGCCACAGCTATTACTTCAATTGATCATACTTCAAACTGTTCCTTGTACGACGATTATTGAAGAAGTTTGAAGAATGATGCAAGAATTAGGGAACTACTTCTCCCAGTCTGCCTCTGCTCCGGTCATCGCTGAGTTCCTCCAGCATCTCCATGCCACTAGGAAACTCAAGGGTACTATGTTAGCTACCTAGTTGGCTGCTATCAACTCGGTTTTGGCTACTGCAACGGAGCCTTCTACGCTCCTACAACTCACTGACCAGTCCATTAAGTTCAGACCTCCGGCCTGGGAACTGTCAGTCATCCTTCATCATATGATTCTACAGGCTGCAAACATTTAGAAGACAGGGACTTTGAGCAAAGTGACATTCTTCTTCCTGGTAGCTTGGCTACTGCTGCTCGTATATGTGTGAACTTCCATGTACTTGATATCAATTGCATGCGGTTCGAGCGGAAGAAGCACGGCAAGGTTTTCCTGGGTTTCCGTTAGGACTTCATTGTGAAAAAACAACTGCCATGGGCAACCAGACTGGATGTTTACCATTCCCCTGTTGTCCACCATCTTTGGGCCTGATGATACTGAAGACCTGAAACTCTGACCTGTTAGGGTTTTGTGCATTTTTACTTGCTGCTTGTAAGGATCGCCGCCGATAACACAAGCACCTTTTCATCCCATTGTCCATGACATCCAGGACGGAAATGTCTCGTACCACTTTATCCTTCTGGATGAGGGGCAGCATTTTACATTCTTATGCCTTCACTGGATTACTGCCTTCGACAGCTTCCAATCTGCATGAGACACAGGCATTAGCTTCTACTATGGCTCCACACAGTAACTGCTCACTCCACGCCTTCATGGAATGGTGCTTTTGGCGGTCTTCTCCTCCCACTACTTGCGAGATCTTTCGGTCAAGGACGTCCAAAGCCTGTACCAGTTTGGACCCCTCATTTTGGCACAACAACTATCCACGGCCCAACAATGTAGATGAGGAACAGTAACACGCGGTTGCTGCTTCCCTGTATTTTCCTGAATATAAGTCTTGATGTCTGCCTTTTGTTCTTATTGCTTATGGGTTAGAACTACTTCACTTAGTCTTATGCTAAGACACGGAGATACTGCCACCCCGGGGCTTGGATGAATCTTGAGCACGGTTCTGTATCACGATGTGGAAGGGTTCGACATTTCACGCTTCCTGACCTCTACTTTTTGAAGCAATTACGTCAGTGAAGTGTGTCATTCCCAAATTCCAGTGGTTTTTGTTGCGTTCCGTCTCCGAAGGTGCCAGGCTCATCCTTTGACTAAGCTTATGTAAAGGAGTGAGGGTCAATTTGATGATGACTGGAACTGAACGTTAAAACTGTGAGCTTTCTGAGTTGTGATTCTCTTTCACCTGCCCCTGGTCGGTGTCTGTGGGTGTCTTCTCGAAGCAGGGGCTGGATCTCACTAAATTTCTTAATTTACTCATGTGCCTCCAATGTTGCCTTTTAAAATGCTTGTCTTGTTGACCAGTCATTATTGAAGATTTCTTGAAGACTCCTGGACGTTTATGTCCATGATATGTTAGTCATGAGTTTGAAGTGGTCTTAGGTGGGATTTCATTGCCATGAATCAGGTACCATGCCTCATGGATAGGTTCATCAAAATCATTTAGCACACAGGTCTCCCAAAGGATGAGCTCCTTCAGGAAGCTATCAGTGATCCTTAATGTTTTCTCTGATTGAGGTCTTTTACCACTTCTAGCTTGAAGCCTTCATGAAACTTCTGGAGATCTGTAACAGTCTTATTCTCCACTACTTCTTCTTAGAGTTTATTGGTTTTAGCTTTTGTATTCAATTACTAACGGATGTTTTCATCCAAAGAAAAGTTATTCATCCCTACAAATCTATGACTTATTCTGTTTTTTGGATTGAGCAAGGACAATGTCAGCCTCATCATGTACGTCTCACAATTCCAAATATCAGGGAATGTTAGACTAATGCTTAGTCTCTGAATATATATAATTTTGATAGTAACAAAAGAGCCCATTTAAATTGAAAAAGAGCCCCAGGGAGACCAGAGATTCAGAACCTGAGGAAACCTAGACTTTATTTAGGGCTTTAGCACTGCAAAGAGGGCTTGGCAGTAGGGAAAATAATGTGGTTCAGGGACTGTGAGACAGACTAAGGGAATGTGTGCCTACCTCCCACTTGTGTAATGTATGCAATATAATAGAATAAAGTGAAAAATATATGTTGTATTGCACATGGTTTAGGCTCCCCTAATAGATGACTTCATCTCATATTTCTAGCCAACTTTACACTAAGAAAAGAATAACTATGTTAGAGAAAACAGGGCTCACCTACAGCATTCTGCAAACTTGTGGAAGGGTCCATTATGAATGGGTTGTGCTTGGGTTAGAAGTTATGAGGCTGGGAACATGAAGAATGCATATTCTAAATTTGTTTTCCACTCAAGGTTTAGAGCAGTTAGCAGAAATGTGATATGTGAGATAGAATAAGTCTTTAAGATATCACATTTGTTAGATAGTAGTAAGTTTTCTAGAGATGAGTGTGAATCCACTTGTGAAGCAATGCCATTCCTGCTATCTAGTATACCCATTGGAGTGAGCCTGCTGAGGAAAATGGGCTGGAAGGAAGGGCAAGGTGTTGGGCCCAGAGCCAGGAAGAAGACGAAGAAGAAGAAGAGGAACAGTGAACTGAAGAAAGGTTGCACATTTTGCTCTTTGGGATTCTGAGAATTATGAGAGACTCTTTAGGTTGTATATGCTTGTTAATTTGTCAAGTTTGTTTTCCATCAGACTGTGGAAGCATTAACAGTAAATTAATCAAGCCTGGTACATGTAATTCTAGGATGGGACCAAGATCATAAAGTGTTTGGGGTCACCTTTGTTTAGGTCATGGTGAAGTTGTTTTTTCTGCAGATATATTCAAATTATGTGCACATACTGAATTTAAGTTTTGAATACTTAAGTTTATGTAATATAGTGAACTACTTTAGAAATGCATCAGCCTATTATCATTGATCATGGAAAATGCAAAACAAATGTTAATGCCCAAACTATGCTTGAAGTCCCTGTGTGAACACCTTTTCACCTACAAATCTCGTGAAAATGCACAAAACGAGGCAGTTCCACAACACATTGACAGATCATTCAACTGTGTACCAAAATCACACTGACATTTTGAACAACACTAAATTGTTGGCTTCACACAATGCCACGTTTATCAGTTGTTGAGAGAAAAAGAGCTGTTTCTGGACACTGGTTTGTCTACAGGTCAAGTGGCTAGGAGGTTTAATTGTCACAATTAAAAAATCGACAAGTTATCACAGCACCTACGACAAACTGGTACAACATGTGATCGCGAGGCAGATAGAGCCTGAAGTGGAAAAGAAAATTATATGTGACGTGTCCAACCTTCCAAATACCTTTATGACTTCGTCTGATATCTGTGAATATATTGCTGACATTATTGCTTCTCTTTAATCTTCCCAGTCAACACAGGATAATGTCGACAATGCTTTTACTGATTTTTTAGAATATGTTCGGAGTGAGATGCATAGAACTCTTCTCACTAGGACTGTATTAGTTGGTGGAGTCTGTAGTAACAAGAGACAAAGAAGTCGAAAGGAATGGTGGACTAATGAACTATCTGAGTTGGGGAATGACATGTGTAAAGCAGAGAAGCAATGGTGTAAATGCAAAGGAGAGGAGACTTTTTAAACATGTGTATATCCAGAAGCGTAAATATTTTGACAGACGGGTAAAAAAAGCCAAGAGAGACTTTCAGATTCAAATAATTCAAAATTTAGATAAACTATGTGAAAATAATTCGTGTGAATTTTGGAAGACAATTGGTAAGGTTGGAGTGGGTCACGAGAGAAAGAAACAGATTCCTATGGAGGTGCGTTTGGAAGCCGGATCTATCTGCACAGATAAGGAGACTGTTACAAACACCTTGAAATCCGCGTATTCTAATCTTTACATTGTAATGTTTGTGTGAACCCTGATCGATGTCCCTGTCCTGAGGGTGATCCAGATAGTGCATTCATCTTATCTAATGAAATTTTATGTTCTGAAAGTGCCAAAACCTGCCATAGTATTTTAAAAAAGAGAAAATATGTTTTATTTCAGTAACGTGTACGAAGTAGGTTTTATTGAGAATACTAAGTGTTGTCACCTGTAAATACCTCTGTGAAATGTATCGCCTGGCCTGATAACTGTTTTATAATGTGGCTGTGTATTGATGTTTTAATAATGTCTCTCTGTAACAGGGAGAGACGTCTTTTCTCCCTCCTCCCTCCTCCCTCTCTCTCTCTCTCTCTCTCTCTCTCTCTCTCTCTCTCTCTCTCTCTCTCTCTCTCTCTCTCTCTCTCTCTCTCTCTCTCTCTCTCTCTCTCTCTCTCTCTCTCTCTCTCTCTCTCTCTCTCTCTCTCTCTCTCTTTCTCTCTGGGTTGGTGGAAACGTTATGATTTAGGGAGGGATCGTAGTCATGACAGGACACATCTACACATCTGTCATGGTCGAGTTACAGCTCAAACGTATACAGCGGAGGTACCAAGAACAATAGTCTCTCCCACATAGTGGCAGATCAACGTCTTCATATTTTTGCACCAGAATAATAGTGGATGTGCTTGACGCAAATGATAGCCATACCTGTTACCGACATTGACTGTGTGAAAGTTTGGAGCGCATGTTAAATTTAAGTTTGACCCCTGTCAACATTATCGTTAATTTATGGTTGCACTAAATGATGAATGACTGCTTTTTCTTTTTCTTGTGTTTCCATCTTGATTGATAATTTCAAGGTTAGCAGGGGAACTTCTTTTCTTCATTTATCACAGAGATTAAATGTTTAATCCAGTTGATGCGTTTCTAAGGTAGTTCAGTATATGTAAGAAATGGAATTTTGAAAACTTTAAATCAAGCTACAAGAACATTGCTTGATATCACTTGATTGTTAATATATAGTCATCAGTTTTATGATGTTATACATGTTTGACTTAGTAAGTGTTTGAGCTTTTATGTATACATTAAACTCAATTACAAGATAACAAAAGAGGCAAGACAAAAGAAGGAATAGCCTTAAATTATCTTTTAATTTATTTTATAATACTTTCTCTTAAAAATCAATGAATGAGTATCAATTTATTGTCTTTACAATAATCATGTTTGGAGTAATTTATGTTTAATGAAGTATGGGATAATGTTTGTGTTTCCCATGCTTTAAGGTAACACAGGGATTAAAAGTATTGTGTCATATGTTTCATGAAATACACCTATGTGTATACAATTCTAAATACAGTGAGACCCCAGATACCCGGACCCCAAATATCCGGAAACCTCGCCTTCCGGTCGATTTTCATAAAAAACCCAATCTCTTACGTTATAAAAGTGACTGTCTATAACGGATATGCGGTTTCCGTTCCCGGACGGTATATTTTACAAACCAACCGGTTAAAGCAACACAAAATTGACTCACTTATCCGCACGAAGCTTTGATCTACCGCTGACCGTGTGAACGGAAGCGCCAGAGTCCCACGTGTTTTGACGCGAGACAAGGTCTGCTAATCCGGATTAATGATTGATCAGCAGGGTATTGGTGGTGATTAGTAGGCCTGTCTGACACAGTAAATTGTCGTTTTCAAATCAAAACGACCATGCTGTTTTGGAAGTGATTTTAAACTAGAAGTGTATGCTCGCTACTGTTCAAACACCTACTATATTATTGTGCATGTTTGAACGTGATCGCCGGGAAACGTGTGCACAGTTGATTGCTATTTCCGGCTCAAATACACACGGTAATCTTAATCCCTGCAAATAATACAATGCCCAGCAAAAACAACTTAGAACTTAAAAGGTAAATAATCTTGTCTAGTGATGTTTAATTGCAAATTTGACGTCTTTACTGACAGAGTCGTCTTCTGTTGTTTGTTCCCGCGGAGTGATATGATGTTGTTTTCTTACCCCTGGAAAAAAGTTTGACGAAAGCTTAACTCATGAAGATAAGCCGACCCCCTCCTACACACTGCTTTTTTTATCCTCAAAATTCGGCTTATAGACAATAATATACGGTAAGCCTGGATGACAGAAATCCAGATATCCGGATATTCAGTTATCCGGACGATTTACGTAAAAACGAATGTGTCCGGATATCCAGGGTCTCACTGTATACTATTTGTCATCTCTGGTTGATTCAATATAGCGATAATTTGGAAGTCACTCAACTGTTGAGGAATGAACATGATGAGTAATTGAGTTGACTATAAATGTTTTATCAACATTTTGGATGTAACAGTATTTGAGGTAATTTTAGATTATATGCTAGAAACAAACAATGCAATAACACTTATTTCAAGGAGATTCCTAAATGACCTACAACCTATTCTCTTCAACATTTTATCCCCCGCAGCATATTTTTAAGGGAGTATTAAAATGGACTCCGTCTGTACTTCCATGCATCCGTCCGTGCAAGTTCGTCTTTACTGGAGCAGAACATAAAAAAACACTGACTGTTTCTTCACCAAATTTTGTTCATAGATAGGTCTGGTTGTGACCTGGTGCCTTTTGGTAGTTTTGGATTTCTGAATAAAACATTTTTTTGCATTTCCTTGGCAACAAGTTTGACTTTGACTGAAATTGGTGTTGGTGCTCTTTTCCGGAGCAGAACTTTAAAACCGTTCAATTTTTCTTCACCAAACTTGGCACACAGATAGGTCTGGTTGTGAACTGGTGCCTTTTGGCAGTTTTGGATTTCTGAAATTGGAGGTAGTACAAATTTATGCAGCAGAACTGTAAAACCTTTCAATAATCTCCTTCCACTTTGTGGGTATCGAAGAACCTAATAACAGAAATCAACAGTAACACTCTATTTCCAGTATCAACACTACTGAGGTACATCAAACTGTACCTCATACGCTTGACATAGTCATAACTAGTTGACATATTCATGAAGAGTATTTTCCATAGTGGGGATATATTTCACATCACTTTGACATTAATAACTTGCAGTATTATCAGGTTGCGATGTTTTCATAAGTCAGAGAGCTATATTTGGTGTATGCATTGGGCTATCTTCTTTCTTCAGCTTCAAGTGTTAAAGTGTATGGCTGTGCTCTGCCCCAGTCTAGTAGCAGTGTGGAGGTGAGTTAGACAGGCAGGACAGACATGGTAGGTATCACTGTGATGTAGATGTGGTGAGAGGGGTGGAGTGTCATGTGTCAGTGTGGAGGGGAGTTAGACAGGCAGGACAGACATGGTAGGTATCACTGTGATGTAGAGGTGGTGAGAGGGGTGGAGAGTCATGTGTCAGTGTTGAGGGGAGTTAGACAGGCAGGACAGACATGGTAGGTATCACTGTGATGTAGAGGTGGTGAGAGGGGTGGAGTGTCGTCATGTGTCAGTGTGGAGGGAGTTAGACAGGCAGGACAGACATGGTAGGTATCACTGTGATGTAGAGGTGGTGAGAGGGGTGGAGAGTCATGTGTCAGTGTGGAGGGGAGTTAGACAGGCAGGACAGACATGGTAGGTATCACTGTGATGTAGAGGTGGTGAGAGGGGTGGAGTGTCATGTGTCAGTGTGGAGGGAGTTAGACAGGCAGGACAGACATGGTAGGTATCACTGTGATGTAGAGGTGGTGAGAGGGGTGGAGTGTCATGTGTCAGTGTGGAGGGAGTTAGACAGGCAGGACAGACATGGTAGGTATCACTGTGATGTAGAGGTGGTGAGAGGGTCATGGAGAGTCATGTGTCAGTGTGGAGGTGAGTTAGACAGGCAGGACAGACATGGTAGGTATCACTGTGATGTAGAGGTGGTGAGAGGGTGGAGCAGGCAGTCATGTGTCAGTGTGGAGGGAGTTAGACAGGCAGGACAGACATGGTAGGTATCACTGTGATGTAGAGGTGGTGAGAGGGGTGGAGAGTCATGTGTCAGTGTGGAGGGAGTTAGACAGGCAGGACAGACATGTGTCATGGTAGGTATCACTGTGATGTAGAGGTGGTGAGAGGGTGGTGGACTGTCATGTGTGTCAGTGTGGAGGGGAGTTAGACAGGCAGGACAGACATGGTAGGTATCACTGTGATGTAGATGTGGTGAGAGGGTGGAGTCATGTGTGTGTTGTGGAGGAGTTAGACAGGCAGGACAGACATGGTAGGTATCACTGTGATGTAGAGGTGGTGAGAGGGTGGAGTGTCATGTGTCAGTGTGGAGGTGAGTTAGACAGGCAGGACAGACATGGTAGGTATCACTGTGATGTAGAGGTGGTGAGAGAGGGAGTGGAGTGTCATGTGTCAGTGTGGAGGTGAGTTAGACAGGCAGGACAGACATGGTAGGTATCACTGTGATGTAGAGGTGGTGAGAGGGGTGGAGTGTCATGTGTCAGTGTGGAGGGGAGTTAGACAGGCAGGACAGACATGGTAGGTATCACTGTGATGTAGAGGTGGTGAGAGGGGTGGAGTGTCATGTGTCAGTGTGGAGGTGAGTTAGACAGGCAGGACAGACATGGTAGGTATCACTGTGATGTAGATGTGGTGAGAGGGTGGAGTGTCATGTGTGTCAGTGTGGAGGTGAGTTAGACAGGCAGGACAGACATGGTAGGTATCACTGTGATGTAGAGGTGGTGAGAGGGGTGGAGTGTCATGTGTCAGTGTGGAGGGGAGTTAGACAGGCAGGACAGACATGGTAGGTATCACTGTGATGTAGAGGTGGTGAGAGGGGTGGAGAGTCATGTGTCAGTGTGGAGGGGAGTTAGACAGGCAGGACAGACATGGTAGGTATCACTGTGATGTAGAGGTGGTGAGAGGGGTGGACTGTCGTGTGTCAGTGTGGAGGGAGTTAGACAGGCAGGACAGACATGGTAGGTATCACTGTGATGTAGAGGTGGTGAGAGGGGTGGAGACAGTCATGTGTCAGTGTGGAGGGGAGTTAGACAGGCAGGACAGACATGGTAGGTATCACTGTGATGTAGAGGTGGTGAGAGGGGTGGAGCGTCATGTGTCAGTGTGGAGGGAGTTAGACAGGCAGGACAGACACATGTAGGTATCACTGTGATGTAGATGTGGTGAGAGGGGTGGAGTGTCATGTGTCAGTGTGGAGGGGAGTTAGACAGGCAGGACAGACATGGTAGAGTATCACTGTGATGTAGAGGTGGTGAGAGGGGTGGACTGTGTCATGTGTCAGTGTGGAGGGAGTTAGACAGGCAGGACAGACATGGTAGGTATCACTGTGATGTAGAGGTGGTGAGAGGGGGTGGAGTGTCATGTGTCAGTGTGGAGGGAGTTAGACAGGCAGGACAGACATGGTAGGTATCACTGTGATGTAGAGATGGTGAGAGGGTGGAGTGTCAGTGTCAGTGTGGAGGTGAGTTAGAGGACAGGCAGGACAGGACATGGTAGGTATCACTGTGATGTAGAGATTGGTGAGAGGGGGTGGAGTGTCATCACTGGTGGTATCACTGTGATGTAGAGGTGGTGAGAGGGGTGGAGCGTCATGTGTCAGTGTGGAGGTGAGTTAGACAGGCAGGACAGACATGGTAGGTATCACTGTGATGTAGAGGTGGTGAGAGGGGTGGAGAGTCATGTGTCAGTGTGGAGGAGTTAGACAGGCAGGACAGACATGGTAGACATGGTAGGTATCACTGTGATGTAGAGGTGGTGAGAGGGGTGGAGTGTCATGTGTCAGTGTGGAGGTGAGTTAGACAGGCAGGACAGACATGGTAGGTATCACTGTGATGTAGAGGTGGTGAGAGGGGTGGAGTGTCATGTGTCAGTGTGGAGGTGAGTTAGACAGGCAGGACAGACATGGTAGGTATCACTGTGATGTAGAGGTGGTGAGAGGGGTGGAGTGTCATGTGTCAGTGTGGAGGGAGTTAGACAGGCAGGACAGACATGGTAGGTATCACTGTGATGTAGAGGTGGTGAGAGGGGTGGAGCGTCATGTGTCAGTGTGGAGGGGAGTTAGACAGGCAGGACAGACATGGTAGGTATCACTGTGATGTAGAGGTGGTGAGAGGGGTGGAGTGTCATGTGTCAGTGTGGAGGGGACAGGCAGGACAGACATGAGTTAGACAGGCAGGACAGACATGGTAGAGTATCACTGTGATGTAGAGGTGGTGAGAGGAGTGGAGTGTCATGTGTCAGTGTGGAGGTGAGTTAGACAGGCAGGACAGACATGGTAGGTATCACTGTGATGTAGAGGTGGTGAGAGGGGTGGAGTGTCATGTGTCAGTGTGGAGGTGAGTTAGACAGGCAGGACAGACATGGTAGGTATCACTGTGATGTAGAGGTGGTGAGAGGGTGGAGTGGTGTCAGTGTGGAGGTGAGTGTCAGGCAGGACAGACATGGTTAGAGACAGGCAGGACAGACATGGTAGAGTGGAGAGTCACTGTGTTGTAGACAGGCAGGTGAGACATGGTAGGAGATGTCACAGTGTGGAGTGAGTGACAGGCAGGACAGACATGGTAGGTATCAGACATGTGTCAGGACAGACATGGTGAGAGAGGGGTGGAGTGTGTCATGTGTCAGTGATGTAGAGGTGGTGAGAGGGTGGACTGTCATGTGTCAGTGTGGAGGGGAGTTAGACAGGCAGGACAGACATGGTAGGTATCACTGTGATGTAGAGGTGGTGAGAGAGGGTGGAGAGTCATGTGTCAGTGTGGAGGGAGTTAGACAGGCAGGACAGACATGGTAGGTATCACTGTGATGTAGAGGTGGTGAGAGGGTGGAGAGTCATGTGTCAGTGTGGAGGGGAGTTAGACAGGCAGGACAGACATGGTAGGTATCACTGTGATGTAGAGGTGGTGAGAGGGTGGACTGTCATGTGTCAGTGTGGAGGGAGTTAGACAGGCAGGACAGACATGGTAGGTATCACTGTGATGTAGAGGTGGTGAGAGGGGTGGACTGTCATGTGTCAGTGTGGAGGGGAGTTAGACAGGCAGGACAGACATGGTAGGTATCACTGTGATGTAGAGGTGGTGAGAGGGGTGGACTGTCATGTGTCAGTGTGGAGGGGAGTTAGACAGGCAGGACAGACATGGTAGGTATCACTGTGATGTAGAGGTGGTGAGAGGGGTGGAGAGTCATGTGTCAGTGTGGATGGGAGTTAGACAGGCAGGACAGACATGGTAGGTATCACTGTGATGTAGAGGTGGTGAGAGGGGTGTGGTGTCAGTAGGTGACTGATTGTAGAAGTTAAGCCATCTAAAGTTATGCTTGTCTAAGATCTCAGGACACTCCACCAGTGTATATATATATTCATATTTCTGTTCATCTAGATGCAAAACTAAGACTTTTTGCTTAATCATTCCATCATACCAGAGCCTAAGCACTGTCTGGCTGATTAGAAATTTCATATATTTTGGAATACAATAGTGACACTTTGATAGCTGAGTATTTTAATATAGGGACAGGAACTTAATTGTTTTGTCTTTTCTAACTGTTTATTAGGAATCAGATGACGAGGCTTTACAGAACGTCACATTTGCCCCAAAGGACAGGAACCCTGTGTCCTTAAAGGCAAAAGACAATGTTCATGGCTTGGGCTACAGCGGCCTTAACCCAAGGAATGCCCTACCTTCAGGTCACATAAACCTGTTTTCCCCTCCTCCCGTGAAAGGCAAAGGACGCAGAGGCATCCAAGGCCATGTAAGTGCAAACCTATCTGTACTTGCACGCTATGTATGTATTTTCAATTGCCTTATAAAGTAGTGCATGTATTTCATTATTTCATGCCAGGCCAATTGTTAGTTAAGGTGTAGTGAAGCAGCGTAGTGACAATATTCTTTGTCTGAGTCCTAGCCTAATGGATTATGATCACCATAGAATATCATACACACACCTAAACAGTGTAATCTACATAGACCTACATGTGAGCAGTGTTCTGAATTGAGTTTGAACTTACTTTGAACACTCAGTGTGGAATATTTATGCCAACAATGATTTAGTGATTGTGTACTGATACAAGAAGATCTGGAGCTTGTTTCTGATTAAAGATGTTTTTTCAACTGCAGGCATTTGGAGTTGGTGCTCTGGAAGATGATGATGAAGATATCTATGCAACTGACCACATGTCTAATTATGACATGACTATGGGTTCTGAGGAAAAAGATGACAAGTTTGGTTGGACTGCCCCAGGACATCGTGAGAAAGGTAACAAATAGTGACGCCTACTTTCGAGATGATTTTACCATTGATTTCCAAATAAACTCTGGAACATAGTGAATGATATGGCTTATCATGGGTATCCTCCCATTACACAGACAGCCAGTTCGCAGACACCTTAAAACTACAACATTTACGGTTCAGTGAACAGATTATCTACTACCTGTTACCTACACATTATAATGGAATAGTCCAAATAAAAACACAGGAACAAACTGAAGCTATATTGTTTATTTTGAAAGATGGACGAAAACACAATAATTTGAATTTTTGTTGCTGTAATATAAAAACAGTTTATTTCATAAACATTTCGGTTTAACCTTCTAGTCTAACGGGAGTCGGAAACATCATATTGAAAACATTAGCATAGCTATTAGGAATTGCGACACTGTTGTATCATATAAATCAAATAAAGACAAATGTGAACCTAAATATTATTCATATGAAATAAAGAAGTTATATGTTTTGCACACAATATTAAGATATATGACAAGTGCACTTAATTACGAGTTATATTAGAATAAATGTTTAAAATATGACGCATCATGTCAATGTGGCCATGGATGGGAGAATGTTTTTCATTTCTTCCTTGAATGTCCATTGTATACTACTCAAAGACATAAACTGTTACAATCTTTAGAAAGTATTGATAAAGTTAGAACACTGATTGGTATTACATGACGTATCATAAGTGTCTCATTTACTGCAAAATCGAATATTTTTCCTTATCCTGACTCATGATCTTTTGCTTATCTCCCTTTCCCTTTCGAATGGTAGTGGAACACTTGAATCCCTTGAAGTTCCCGAAGCAGACATATAAATATACTCACCCACGAGTTACCTCCCTTTGCCCTTTCCCGCGCAAACCAGTCATGTGACGTGCCCATACTTGTCACTCTCTCCCTTTTCGCCCAAGCGGATGGTTGGACGAGCTCTGGAGTCCCGTATACGGCATCACATACTTTTTATTTAGACCTATTCTTCAAAATTACGCTGTATATGGATTTGGCTATAACTACTATGTAGTGTTTGTAAAATTTTGTAAACATTTATTGACTTTGAGTCGTAAATTCATCCTCAAGTGGCGGAATATCTGTGTCATCTTAGACAGACCAGACATCTGAAGGGTTCGACCCTATCTACATACCTCGCTGCAATCAGTACAGTGATTACTATGAAAACAGGCATCAAGTTGACAAAAGTACCAGAATTACTTGCTCTGCTGAGGTCTTTTAATCTGGAGGACCAGCAAAAGAAATTCAGAGCTCCAGCCTGGGATCTAAATGTAATTCTGCGTCATCTTACCAGTGATGTCTACGAACCACTAGATCAGATTACACTCGAGCTGCTAACACAGAAAATGCTGTTCCTGCTTGCTTTAGCCACAGCTGCTCGCATATCAGAGATACATGCGCTGGACTTTGGTCGAACCACATTCGACAGAGGGCAACATAACGCAGTTCATCTAGGACTTAGATGGGACTTTATTGCCAAGAACCAGCTACCTGGTCAACCAGATAGACAGTTCCACGTACCAGCGCTGTCTACAGTTCTTGGTCCACAGGATATAGAGGACTTATCCTTGTGTCCAGTCAGAGCCCTGAAGATATATCTTCAAAAGACTGAGACGAGGAGACAAAAATTCAAGGCCTGTTCATCCCATGATCAAAATCGTTCTGGATGAGAGCCGTTATATTGAGAGCCTATAAAGCAGCAGGACTAGAACCTCCTAGAGCTTCCAACCCACACGAAGTCAGAGCACTAGCGTCACAGACTAGCTCTGCATGGAAATTGCTCTCAACCAACAATCATGGAGGGCTGCGTTTGGAAGTTGGACACGGTGTTTGCCAACCACTACCTCCGAGACATAGCCACTGAAGACGTCTCAGGCATTCACCAATTTTGGCCTCTCGTTGTAGCACAGCAACTAACGGTTCTGCAAAGGCGCTGAGTTGGAAAATCTCACCCTTTATCACGTTGACTTGTAGATAACTTTTACTAAGGAAAAGTACTAGTTTGAAAGTCCATGCGCACAGTCTAAGACAGGCTTACATGAGTGATTAAAGATCCTGTACGGGTAAAGATCTTACCTGTACATGAAGGGGTCGCAACTCATTTATGATAAAAATCTTATCATAATCTATGGGTTGTTATAAGATATCTAGTAATAGGAGAATACTAGTTTATCTTAAGCCACATGAATCAACGTGATTCAACTTGTCTGAGATTGAAGTAAGACAAGAAAGTGGTCCCCCCGAGTTATAACAGAAGTTGGAAGAATAGGATCACGGAAATGCCGTTTCGCAGTTCCCATGGGGGGGATACAGGACATATCTAAGGGCAGCTGTTGAATCCAGTAGCTTGACCCACCACCAATCTGTCGGATTCTATAAGCAAAAGATCATGAGTCAGGATAAGGAAAAATATGTAATTTTAAAGTAAAATTGATATTTTATACTTATCCTGACTCATGACGAGAAGCCATCCTAACCTCCCCGTTGAAGACACTTGAGATTTCACAGCAGATCCAAGTGCATGGGCTGAAAATAAGGAGAGAGTGACAAGTATGGGCACGTCACATGACTGGTTTGTGCGGGAAAGGGCAAAGGGAGGTTACTCGTGGGTGAGTGTATTTATACGTCCGCTTTGGGAACTTCAAGGGATTCAAGTGTTCCACTACCATTCGAAAGGGAAAGGGAGATAAGCAAAAGATCATGAGTCAGGATAAGTATAAAATATCAATTTTACTTAAAAAAAATTACATGTTTTCAACTATGTACATATCTATATCTCTCGAACAAAACGTTTTCTCAGTTAACTTTTGTTGTACATATGCTATTATTGGGACGGGGCTTTTCTATCATTAAACACATTCAAATCACTCAGTGACAAACCTGTTTTTATATTCGATAGTAATTGATAGTAAAATCAATTTTGAGAAGAGAAATCATTATCATTCAATCACAACAAAGTTCTATTTACCCGCAATCAAACTTCTCAGTAACGAACCTGTTTCAGGCTCACCCTGCTCTACTCACTAGACAGTGGACTGTTCCATTATACCCGTAGGTGTTACCCTAATTAACCTTCTAGTTCAGTGTCTGTCAATTGGGTGTCTGTCAATTGGGAGATAACCTTATCATGCAATGGGTAGATTGCTTATAAAGCCAACACATAACAATGGTATTTGTTAGGGTTTGTTTCCAATTATAGAAGGTCATGCAGGGACTACATTGCGTGTTTACAAAGAAACATGCCATAAAGTTAGAATTCATAATTGTTTTCATTAGTAAAAATTCATCTGTGTCTAACAAGAGATGCTGCTGAGGCCTTCCACAAATGCAACAAACTTTAAATTGCACAGAAATTTAGTTGATAGAGTCAGAATACCAGTTCCTATGCCTGTGCTTGTAGACCTAATTACTGATTTATAAACACTTGGATTCCGCCAAAATATGTCTGAAATTGTACCACACTCAGCAGTATTCCAGCTATATGGCAGCAATCTGTAAATAATCAGGTATGGACCAGACAATCCAGTGATCAACAGCATGAGCATCGATCTACGCAATTGGGATACGATAACATGTGTCAACCCAGTCAACGAGCCTGACCACCCGATCCCGTTAGTCGCCTCTTACGACAAGCATGGGTTGCTGAAGATCACTTCTAGGGTGGGATTGGGAATAAACACTATGTATCAGCTTAACATGAACAGCTAAATACAATGCTTATTCATAATAGGGGATATTTACCATACCTCTATTTATTCCTTGTTCTTTCTTTATTCAGGAAAACAGCAAGTCCCAGTTGGATATGTTGGGAAGCTCCTTGAAGGGTTTAACATATCCTCCAAATCTCTGAAGCCAAAGAAGGTTTTTAAGCACCCACCTTTGCCTCCTGGATTCCGCCTTGTACATAAGTTCCTTAAGCCTTGTGCCTCAGCATCTGCTCCAGGCAGCACAGACAAACACAATGCTGTCAGTCGTGGGCTTGTATTAGGAGAGACACCCATATTTAGTAAGTTGTACAGTAACATAACTCTCTCTAATCACTTTCTTGCTTGAAAAGTGGACATACGAAAAGAGTGTGCTTGGATGAGAAATGAATTATATGTGCCCATTATTCTCTTGTTTATTTGCTGATAATATTTTGCTTTGTGGCAAGTAATTATGGAATAATCATAATGGAATAGATAACAGGAACAACCATTGACAATTGGGTGTTTGTCTTCTGCAGAATCAGTATTTGATTTGATACCAAAAGATGAGCAGAAAAAGTTGGAGATGGCCAAGGATACCCCTCTCCCTGGCCCTCTCTCACCCACAGCAATCATCCAGGGAACTCCTGGACACAAGCCGCAGTCAGACTCCCAGCCAGACCGTGAACACAGCTGTACATGAGGTAGCACCAGGGCCAACACAAGCACTGAATAAGGGTAGTCTCACATTCCAGCCTTTTGCCAGGAACCAGGACAAACAGAGGAGGTATGATAAGTACCTCAGCAACTTCAGACAAGGAAATAAAGGTACAGTCATGTTGGGGGTTATGATTTCAGCTTTCATACTGTACATTTGAAATAAAACTTTTCAAGCCATTACTTTGATAAAAATGGTGTTTAATTCCTATTTCTGTTGGTTTTTCCCTCACCCTGCCATAGACAGTACATGTATGAGTTTTGAGATTTGATTGGAATCTTTGTTCCTTGTCCAAATATATTCATTGAAAACTTCCCAAATCAATCTGTCTCATCATTATATCCAATATATGAAGTGCAAATTATTAATATTGTGAGAATGGCGTTGAAAATATTATCCATGAAATGTCATGGAATCAATATAAGGACAGTATGTTTTGGGATTAATAAGCTAGTTTAGCACATCCACTCCACTTACTGTGGAAGTGTTAAAGGTTAGCTAGTCTACTCTGTTGTTTATGGCTTTGGTCTTTATTTCTCTGTTATCAGGCATCAGAAATGAATTACTTTCTAGAGGGTTGTTTGCCTAATTTAGAGGGGCCAATATGTCTTTGTGATTGATCTGCTCCAGTAATCATCCCATCATGTACAACAAGGGTTTCAGTAGTGTGCTTGTCTTGGGTTTCATGCAAGATAAGGGGCCGATTGGTTGCCAGATGGTTAAAGTGTTCGCTTGTCATGCTGAAGACCTAGGTTCGATTCTCCACATAAACTTGTTCTGTTTAGACCCATTTGAGGAGGTTGGGGAGGGCAGCATGACAGAGTGGGAGATGGAGAGAGAGAAAGAGGAGTTTGCCAGGGCCGCAAAATTGTACAAGCCCCTGTCCACTATGATGGCAACACGCTTCACCACAGCCAAGTATGCTGATGACCTGGATACAGTTGAGATGCCTGTCGACCCTCAGGTTTGTAGATCATCATTGTCAGATGTACAGTTTCATTTGTGATTAGTCTCATAATCAAAGCAGCTGTCTAATAACACTTGTTCTTTGGTGATTCTCTCTAACCAGTAGCAGCTGACTGATAACACTTGTTCCTTGGTGACTCTCTCTAACCAGTGGCAGCTGACTGATAACACTTGTTCTTTGGTGACTCTCTCTAACCAGTGGCAGCTGACTGATAACACTTGTTCCTTGGTGACTCTCTCTAACCAGTGGCAGCTGACTGATAACACTTGTTCCTTGGTGACTCTCTCTAACCAGTGGCAGCTTACTGATAACACTTTTGTTCCTTGGTGACTCTCTCTAACCAGTGGCAGCTGACTGATAACACTTGTTCCTTGGTGACTCTCTCTAACCAGTGGCAGCTTACTGATAACACTTTTTCCTTGGTGACTCTCTCTAACCAGTGGCAGCTGACTGATAACACTTGTTCCTTGGTGACTCTCTCTAACCAGTGGCAGTTGACTGATAACACTTGTTCCTTGGTGACTCTCTCTAACCAGTGGCAGCTGACTGATAACACTTGTTCCTTGGTGACTCTCCTTACCTCTGTCTCTCTGATTTGAGATTGTGTTCTCAAAACATTTCCCTTTGTCAACTTGACTCAGCTTGTCATTAGGAGAGGACTTCAGTTATGCTTCTCTTTGATACATGGTAACATTAAGAGAAATGCACTCATATTATGAAACACAAATCACTGAGCACAATAGTTTTGTACAAGATTCTACAGTTAACTGAACTATAAGTTTGTTATTTTGTTTTAAGTTTTATTATTATAAAATCTTTGAAAACAGGGATAAAACATATGTTACATACCCAGTTACTCCCAGTGAGTTTCATACGCTGTCAGTGTTTGATGTCCTTTTCAGGTGGAACAGAGTGACCAAGCCAAGGCTGTGGAAATGAAGATGTTCGGAAAACTGACACGGGAGCAGTTGGAATGGCACCCAGACAAACTTCTGTGTCAACGCTTCAATGTCCCTCACCCATATCCAGGGTAAGTAGCTCTCATGTTTCATGATAACTGGGCAATGATTTACACATTCATTTGCCCTGAGTCTTCACTAGGAGATCATAAAAAAATATAGATATTTGTTGCTCAGTCATGATGAATCCATCCTATCCCATAACTGAACCACGGCAACTCGTCATGAGGTCTCGGGTTGACAGTTGCCGTGGTTCAGTTATGGGATAGGATGGATTCATCATGACTGAGCAACAAAATTCTGACAGCTTTTGTTGTCCTGTTTGCAAGGCATGTTGGATGACGATTTGTCTTTCAGGACAGCAATGTCCCTGCTCACTGTCCACATGTCTTCAGTGCTCACCTCCAGCAGCACCACATCCATTCTATGGCTGAAGGGGTCGTTGTCGGCACAGGTACTACAGATATGTACCCTAAACAAAGTCAAAATACAGAAACGTACACGGTACCCCAGAAGGCGGACGTGTCCATATTCCGCAATCCAAAACCGAAACTGCATGTAGTTGTTCCCGCTCAACTGATTCCAAGTGATATTCATATGCATCGCGAAATATCCGTTACTGTGTATTCTCATTACTTACATAACGCAATCAAATGTATCTAATACGACGGTATGACAGTTCCGATCAAGAATATGACACAATGGGAATGGAATCGTCCTAGGGTACGTTTTTGTATTCTCATTATGGCCAGGGTATTCTCATTATGGCCACGGGGTACATATCTGTGGAACTCGTGCCGCAACGACCCCTTCAGCCATACTATGCCATGGCGGGCAATGAGCCAAGATTTTCCATCTGGGACATGATAGGCAAATGTGTGTCAACATCATTGGCTCCTGACCATGCTGGCTGACCTTGGAAGGTGCTGCAAGAGAAGTAGGACAGAATCTCTCAAATCACCAGTGGGAGACTCATACATAGAATGCCTGGCAGAGTTAATGAATGGTCGACAAATCATTGCTGTATTATGCACTACTGATCCAAAATGTCTACTTTTTAAAGTTTCCATATAACCATTATAGTCCTTTAAGATCTTTTGTGGTCATACACTGTATACTTCACTTTAGGTTGTATTGTGTTCCCAATTCACTACCATACAGCTAGGACTAGACACTATTCTCTCTAATTATGGAAATTTCAAGTTATTTCTGAGTGTCTCCTGCTTTTTTAAGAATATGATTCAAATTATGTTGCCCCTTTCCCCTCCCAAATTGATGTTCTGCAACACCTAATGCACATTTTCTTTATGAATTTTATTGTATCACTGTGCTAAGTTTTTTAATCTACCATAAAACTCTAGAAAACATTGGCCAGGGACTAGAGCACCACTTTATCAGGCATAAACATAACCCATCCAATACCAGTAGAAAGCTTTGCAGGTTCTGTAAGCCCAAACACATTGAGATGGAAATAGAGATGTGATGATTAAGATGTTGCTTTTCACCGGCAGCTCAACCATGACAGGCCTCACATGTGTAAAGAGAGACAAGTACTCAGTGTTCAACTTCCTGGAGTTCTCTGGTACCCATGCAGCTGACACAGAACAGCACTCTTCAGTCCAGGAACCTGTAAAAGCTATTGAAAGTAAAGGTGGGATGTCATAATTCATTAGTCCTTAAAATAAACAAATATTAATAAATAACTTGTTTTCTTTGTATACATTAATTTAACTACTTACAACACACATTATTTCAGAGTCATCCTGCAAACAGACCACACGTGAAAGTGCATCTCAGAAACATGACATGAAGTCTGGTACGACTGGCCACAAGTCTAGTGTAAGGCCAGCATTCAGTTCCATCTTCAGTGTGCTATATGAAGATGATGACAAGAAGCAGAAGGTCAAGCAATCACACATGGAACAGGAGAGGGTCACGGAAAGTGTAGGACACCAAAGAGAGGAGGAGAGAGGAGACACAGTTGCACAACCTGCAACTACTGCGGTAGGCCATGTTGATGCTGTATTGTATCAGTGTTGTTGACATCATTTAGTGTCAGGATGTCTTGTGTGGTATACTAGTTGGTCATGTAACAGAAGAATAACTCTTGTTCTCTATGTGGCATAAAGCATCTTCACATATATTTCAACAACAGGGAGATGTTGCCAAGGACAGTGATGCACCAACCTTGGATCTCTTCAGAGCTATTTTCAAAAACTCGGATTCAGAGGACAGCTCATCTGAGTCAGAACAAGAGCAAAGTGAAACACTATCCGAGCCAGTTGCCACAAAGGAGTCATCAAGTGAAGTGAATGCAGAGATACATAGTGGAGATGGCAAATTGCCAGGTTTGTTGAAATCCTTGTATCATTATATTCAGCTTCTTACTATGTCTGCTGAAACAGTTAATAGGTTAGCTGAGCAGGTTTAGTTCCTGTTGACTTTATGATCCAACAGTAATGGATTTGACTAAATTTGGTTTCTGGCCATTTCCTCATGAAAAGTACACAAACTAGATTTAGATTTAATTCTTTTTATGTATAGACAATCCAGATGATGACTGAGCAGCCCAATGTAACAGGGAATGCTTTATAAAAAAAGTCTGCATTTTTATTGCCACCACATAGTTTTAAACTTATCCTATCTCACGGTATGCACCTCTCTTTTTCTTCTACGACCATGTGTGGAAACGTGCTGTAGGCTAAGTTGAATCAAAAGTTATCTGGCCTCTGACCCCCCCGACCTCTGACCCCACTCTGATAGCAGTACCTGTCAATAATCTCAATAAGCGTGCAGATCGCTCAGATGATCACGTGACGGTCTGTGCCTGTCATTCTCTTTCTTGTCGCTACACCGAGTGGACGTGTGTTGTTCTCTCAGTTAGACATTATTTGATTGTCAAGATGGGAAATAAATGGAATCAAAGTTCTTCTAAGAAATGCAAACACTGTGATCAGTGCAACAGCAACTTTTCCGCTGCTGATCCACATGCTTTGTGTGTGGACTGTATAGGCTGTTGTAGTTGGTCACATCGGTGTTCTGTTTGTTCACAATTCAATGATGATGTTTTTTCTGAATATTGACAGGTTGCATCTAGACGTAGATTTTTTAGAGGTGGCCTCAAGAATCCTACTTGAGCAAGTATCTCCATCGTCTCTTTCGTCATCAAACGTCTAGTCCCGTCTCCAGACAAGTTTTATCTCCTCTGAGAGTGGTAGTGCTAACAACCTCTGCAGCACAGTCTCGGCCTTCTAACTTGGTACGATTTCACAGACTCCTAGTTTAACTCAGGTGGTTGATTCCAATGCGCCGCTTTGGTTGAGTGCTCCACACCCCTCTGTCATGGTGGGTGCGCTTGGTGAAGCGTTCATTGCAGTCATTTCGGCGCTTTCAACCACAGGGATCAGTTCGTCAGGCATGATGATAGTATCCAGTGCGACGCTTTCACAATGTATGAAATAAGCCATAAGTCCAGCCAGGTAACTTCAAAATGTTACCAGCCCAAAAGGGATTTAACCAGGCCAAATATGGTGAATTTACTGAGATGTATGGAACATATGAAGTTTTTACCAGACCGTCGGGCTGGCTAGCTGTAAATGTAGACCGTCCGTCAAAATCTAGACCGTCTCGGCGGTCGGACAGACCTTCTTTCATACACTGGCTTTCAACACCTTTCCCGTACCTTGCACCACCTTTCTATGCTCCACCGCCTAGTTCTAAAGCGGCACTTGTTGTCATTACTTTGTTTGTACCAATGCGAACCATGCCAGTTCAGCCGCTCCTACAGTATTCACCAATCCGAATGTGTTCGCTGAACTGTCAGCATTAGCCGAATCATCTGGTTATCTCTATGCTCCTAGCTATTATCATCATGACTTAGTTTGCTAGTTCGCACATTTTGTTCCGGACTTCAGAGAGTACCTTGGGTTTTTGATTGGCTCTTCTCTACACATTAGGTCAATGCACTGTTTTTCAGTCCAGTGCGATGCTCTGCTCCAATGTGCTGTTTTCCTCCAGTGCGTTGCTCTCTAATTATCAACGTTTCCATCCAGTGCATCGTTTCTGCTGGTTGTATAGAGGTAGTAGTTATGTTAGTAGCGCAGGCCTCTACTTTACGACGCCGATTGACGAACCCGGATCTTTAAGATTCCTCCATCATCTACCTCCGATCTTCACCTTCGATGAATGATTCGATTCAGCGACTCTACCCTTCGTCGTAGATGTCAGCTCTACAATCACCCGGTTTGACATATCTGTCCAGAAACTGGTTGATGTTAAAGGAATGATGATGAGGATGACGAAACAGGCCATGATTACACCCAGCTATACATCATAACGCTGCTTCGAGTAGTCTGTAGTAACCAGACTCAGTGAAGTGGATAATATTCCTGAATATCAAGTTGGCCTAGTATCCACAGTTTCTGCGTGTGGTGTTAACAGTGATGTTTGGTCAAGTAGCTAGCATCCCTTAACCCGGTCAAGGATGTTATGGGTTAGGACTCGCCTGGTTGACCGAAGACCGTGGTGTCCGTTTTTTTGTCTCTTTTTGCCTGTATGAAGCGTTTACAATGGTGGACTACTGGTTGCTTACCGGACATTTTTTTAGAATTAAAGTGACTATGGAGTGCCCTGACAGACTTGTCTTGGTCATACGAAGCGGATAACTATCCCAGCCTTTAATTGCCAGTGATGATGGACAGTGCCATTCCTGGTAAGAGTGATTATGTCGAGTTTCGTCAGTCAGCCGGGAGAAACAGTTTACCGAGGGTGCCAGACAGAATCGCCATGACGCTTTCACTTTGGCTGGGTTTACTCGGTTCTTAGCTTAAGGCCTCAGTTCAGAGGGCACCGCAGCTATGTCCAGACTGTTTGTAGGCATCGGTGTTACTACCTTCGTCTCCTTTACGAACGTTCCTGGGGTCACTGGTCTTTTTTACCTCTGCCATTCCATCAACTATACGAATGTTCCGGTAGACTAACGATCCCATGCATCGCATCTACTAATTTTTTCACTCCATCTGGTGGACCAACACTTCATTTGGCGAACTATACGTTCCTACAATCACTGTTTATATGGCCTTCATCACTCTGTGTACACTGTGTACGTTCCAGACATCTCCATGCCACGAACCTCCTACATTCAGCACTTCTTCAGTGCTGTCATGGTATCAACGTATCCTATCTCAGACTGCTGTTCTACGCTCCACAATCGACACTCTCCTTCAGAAACTTGCGATCAAGCCCTGGGCCTGGCTCCGACCGACCCGGGGTTCTATTTGCCAATCTTTCTGGTGCCAAAGAAAGATTCGGACAAGTTGAGACTAATTTTCAATATGAAGGTTTTCCATAAAATGTTTCTACAACCTCTGCCTCATGATCAGCAGATCGTGCTTGCCACATCAACGTGTTAGAGCTCAGCGCGGTGATTCTTGCGATCAGTCACTGGCAAGGGATTCTACGCGCGTCGTCTCTCATTGTTCGTTCGGACAACGCAGCGGTTGTATGGCACATTAATTGGATGGGGTCAACGGGGTCTCCGCAACTTCTACGATGGACACAGCAGTTCTTCGACCTGATAGACACCCTCAACATCTCAGTACGAGCCAATCATATTCCAGGGGTGAAGAACGTCATCGCAGACTCTCTGTCCCGGCTGAATCGTCCATCTCCGACAAAGGGGAAATTACACCCTCAAGTGTTCCAGACCTTTTGCCTTCCGTTGATCAATCTGACAGTGGATCTATTCGCCACTCGTTTCAACCATCAGCTGCCGTTGTTCGTATCTCCAATTTTGGACCCTCTGGCTTTGGACCACGACGTTCTAGTCATCTCATGGGTCGATTTAAACTCTTACAAGTTCCGCCAGTGTCCCTTCTTCCACGCATACTCCTGAAACTGCTCACGACTCAGCGGATGACACTGCTTTTGGTCGTGCCTTACTGGCCGGCCAGGGGTTGGTTCATAGATCTTCAAGAGCTAGCCAATTCAGACCCTCCATGTCTTCCCGAGCGGCTCGATCTTTTCGTTCATCCACACTCCGATCAACTACATTGGTCTCCGCTCACGCTCCATGTTCACATTTGGCGCATTTACATAAATCACTAACAGCTAAGGGATATTCGAAGCGTGTTGCTACTGCCATTACTACTGCGCACCGTACCTCCACTAGGTCACTTTATGATGATAAGTGGAAGAATTTTGAAGCGTATTGCAGGATGAAGGGCATAACATCACCCACTACGGCATCACCACAGATGGTGGCAGAATACCTTCAGCATCTTCGAACCTCTAAGAAGCTTAAAGGTTTACGCTGTCTACCTACCTGGCTGCCCTTAACACAGTTATTGCGACGGCCTCGGGTGTGAAGGTATCAAATGTCCCTGAGCTCCAGTCTCTTCTCAGATCTTACAAACTTGCTGATCAGTCCCGGGAGTTCCAGCCTCCATCTTGGGATCTTTCCGTTGTACTCAATCACCTTTCATCAGCAGATTATGATCCCTTAGAGGAGAGGGATTTTGAGCATGTCACTTTCAAGACCTTTTTTCTGTTGGCCTTAGCGACAGCTGCCCGTATTTCCGAGTTGCACGCGCTTGACATCTCTCGGGTGAGATTTGAAAGGTCTAGACATGCTAAGGTGTTCCTTGGTTTGCGGTGGGATTTTCTTGCCAAAAATCAATTGCCAGGCCAGCCGGATCGCTTTTTCACAATCCCGCCGCTGTCTACTATTATGGGTCCAGATGACATTGAAGATCTTTCCTTATGCCCGGTTCGAGCATTACGGATTTACCTAGCTGCCTCTAAGGACCGCCGCAGGTTGCGCAAGAGACTTTTTATCCCGTTATCCACTGCCTCCGCCTCGGAAGTCTCCCATACTACCTTGGTGTTTTGGATGAGATGTACAATCCTGCGTGCATATGCCTTTCGGACCTTCCTCCACCTACGACGGCGAACCCTCATGAGACATGGGCTTTGGCTTCCACCATGGCGCTTCATAGGAATTGTTCCCTCCAGTCCATCATGGAGGGTTGTTTTGAGATACCGTCTTTGCCTCGCAGTACCTTCGTGATCTCTCGGTTACAGATGTGGAAGGTCTGCATCAGTTTGGTCCTTTGGTCCTGGTGCAGCAGTTGTCATCAACCCGTGTTCGCAGATAAAGCAATTCTTCCTTGGTCGGTTTTGCTCTGTACCTAATATAAGATATCGATGTAATCCATATCTTGGTACTTTTTCTCTTGGGCTTAGATCATTCTCACCTATGGGAATAGGGCATGTCTGCACTGTCATAAGTTATGACTTGATAGACTGTGAGGCCAGTCTTGTGCTACATGCAGAGATGATCGACACTTCGCTTACTGACCTCTACTCTATGAGCAATTAAGTCAGTGAAGTGTTGATTTCCGATTACCTCCATGGTATTCGGAGCGTTCTGCTCCTAAGTCCTTTCTCACCTTTGGTAAGTTAGGGAGATTGGTACTGAACGTTAAACTAGTTGAACAACCGGGCTATTCCCTCTTTCACCGCCTTCCAGCATGTGTCTGTGGGGGGTAGTTTCGAAGCAGGGACTGGCGGGAATACCGGCGGTCACCTGATAAATCACGGGGCGGCCGGGCCTACTTGCCAAACTGTGTCCTTTTGCTTGTCAAAAGTTGCGGCTGAAAACCACATTAATTCGGGAGCGCCCACTCCCTAGAGTTTTTGTGCTGTGTAAGCCAAGGGGTTATCTGAAGCAACCCATCACAAGTTGGAGTTAGCATATCGGAAGTTGGTGCTTTCTCCTGGCCTCCTTGTGTTATGCGTCTTCACAGTTGTAAGTATTGACAGGGTAATCTGCAGCCCTCCTACCAACCGTGGGATTGTGCATATCGTGAGATAGGATAAGTTTAAAAATTTGAAAATTTTAATATAAATTGTATATTTATATACTTATCCTATCTCACGCGATGGATACCCACCCGACCTGCCCCACATCACAGATTACTGGAAGCTCCAAGACGAGAATGACAGGCACAGACCGTCACATGATCATCTGAGTGATCTGCATGCTTATTGAGATGATTGACAGGTACTGCTATCGGAGTGGGGGCAGAGGTCGGGGGGTCAGAGGCCAGATAACTTTTGATTCAACTTAGCCTACAGCATGTTTCCACACATGGTCGCAGAAGAAGAAGAGAGGTGCATACTGTGAGATAGGATAAGTATATAAATATACAATTTATATTAAAATTTTCAATTTGTTTTTGAACTAAGTGGTGCTTTTTTCACTATAGTGAGTTTTTCTGCTGAAGTTTTGCTCAAGCATAAAGTTAGATGAGAGACCATGTTGGTGAGAAGGTCACCATGTGTAGTTTCTTGTTTTGTCAAGACAACATGACAGTTAGACTTCCGTCCGTATCCCCCCCAAATTTTAACGATGAGGAAAAAATTCTTTGAGTTGCATTTTTAGAAGTTGGATATGTCTTTCTGTATGTTCATATACAATTAAAGAAACTTGTTAAAACTCATCCTTATCAGGAATATATTTTTCAGGTGATATGATTTGACTAGAATGAAATTTAAGGGGGATACGGGCGGACGTCTTTCCAACATGACTTTAAGTCATCTATGGCAGCCAATTCCTCAGAAACCACTAGACCAGTGAAGCTGAAAATTGTCATGATACCTTGAAGCCATATTGGAAACCGTTTTTATGGCCATCATCATCCATTTTCTTTTGAAATGTAATGATATTGGGTGTATCTGTAGTTTGCAGTGATTTGATCTGGTATGGGTAACACAACCATAGGACTCCCCCAAGGTTAGCCATATATATTAGTGATATGAGAGATGGAATGTGATTGAGTCTGCAGGATGGACAGAAAAGGAACATAACTCTTAGTAGCCTTTGATGGCACAAACATGGAGATTATACTGCTCTCCGACCATAAAGAAGAGTCTTCAACAGCTCAACAGCTTGCTTAACCTTTATTTGTTGCCTTTATTTGTACCAAATGTACGATCATGAGCATGATGAGGTCAATCACGTGTGTCGGTAAAAGCTGTAAAATAACAAAGGAATGATAAGTATAAAATTTCTGGACATTGGATGAGCGTAATCACACCTTTAGCTAAATTACACTAAATTGTGTAAAAATACCAATATCAGACATTCAGCCTAATTTACTGGTTCAATTAAAACACTTTTGTGATATCAAAATGCCATGACGATTCAAAGCTGTTTCATAAACAATGATAATTTCCATACAAAATATAATACGAATGTTAAGCCCAGTCGTATAGAGCCTCACAAAAATACAGAGATGCACGTTTTAACTGTGTAACGTTACCCCACTTATATAGAGCCTCACAAATTACAGAGATGCATATTTCTTCTAAATGCATAAAAATGCAGACGATACCATGGAATAATTATCGCAATAACAGGAGGAATTGATCCTATAGCTGTAAATCAACTTAAATCTTGGTGCGAGGCCTAATGCAAGAAAAACACTTCAAAACTTGAGAGCGACACTTGTCACTGACAAGCGCATGGTAAAACATGGCTGGCAAAAGGGAGGTAATCGACCTAGAACTAAGGAAAGCAACTCTAATGAAGCTTACGTAAATTGTTACATGTCAGTGCATGACATCACAGAGATACAAAATTCAACATTACTAATTCTGTTGCATTATATCTAAAAATGTATTTAATACCAGGTCCCACACGTGACCAAATTGTATTCTGTCGTGTTGTTGTACAATAGTCCATGTTGCCAAAGTACGGAATAAATCCTTGACAAAATTCAAGTTTAGTTCGCTAAGGTTGGAAACTGGACTTTCATAGTCTGTTACCTCCCTTGCCTTAGGAAGATGTGTAAACGTCATCTGCCACTAAATTTCTGAAGCTGAAACATCACATGCTAGGTCCACATGCTAGATGTGTGATTCTGGTTTTCAGAATAGTCACAGCATCAGCCATATGGAAAGAGCTTTAACTCCCATCGTCTTGGTTTAAATTGTAACCGAGTGTGCAGTTAGTGCTAAAAATATGTCTTTACTATTGTTTTTGGTGATATTCTTATATTTTGTGAGTTTTACCTTTGCACCTCAGTCGTAAAGAAGACTGAAACATCTTATGGCTCTTTGTCAGCCATTTTCTTTCAAAATGTATATCTATTTGCTGTATGTGTAGGTAGTAATAAGGCTCCACACATGCTCTACCTTTTTGTTATTTCACATTTTGACCATTTTCACCTTGGCACTATCTTAATTTTCTCAGAATGTATTTCCTCTTGTTGAAAATATTCTCCAGAACCAATGAAGCTGAAAATTCACATGCTGTGTCCCTCCAATGATGTATGTCCGAATTTGTTCTGGAGGACTCTTTAATATGGCTGATATGGTAACAACTGTGTTGGAATAACTATATTTATGGGAACAGCTCAGCCATTTCTTCTCATAATGTTGCCAAGTTTTTGTGAAACAATTTGAAGACTTCTATGGCTTTAGTTAGGTGAAACACAAGACTTTTCTAATGGTTATATTGCTTGAATGTCTCTGTATGACAAGTGATTACAGTCACCTTGTGAATTCAGAAATAGCTCCATATGGAGTTTCATCAAGGGTGAACGTCATCCTCCAGGTCAAAACCTCAAACTTGCCTCAATCATGAATGTTTTACTTTGTAACGAATATTTGCCATTTTCACAAATACATTTTCACATTTAGTTACACAGGACACAAGTAGTCATACTCCACACTACCTCCCTGGTGCACCAGTTGCCATAGAGACAGTGCAACAGCGTCTTTCACCAGTAGTGCCTGAAACACCACAGTCAGAGGATGAGATGGCATATGGTCCTGCTCTTCCTCCTCCTCCAGGTGAGTTGTCTCCCTTGATAGTGTACCGTGACACCTTCCTGTCATAGGATAAGAAGGTATGGTCCTTGGGTTTTGCTGATGTGGTAAGCATTTAAGATCTGCATCATCCAGGCTTTGCTCCAACATGAAGCTGCCATGTTTTGATTTACTCCAATACTATTCAAAGCTGTGTTACAAGCACTCATTCACTCACTTATTCAACCAGATGGCATTCATGTCGTTGCTGACTCCACCTCTAAGTGAGTAGACTTTCTAGTAGTATCTACGGCGCTAGGAATAGTATTAAGAACCAGTTATTCAGATTTCATCTATTTTCTGTTAGATTTGTACTTTTAGTAGCGTGATATATGTCTGAGAACTGCTAAAGTTGAATGCAACCTCTTTCATTTAACTGAAATGTCATAATACTTCTTACTATTTTAGTAAGAGTGGACTTGCTTGTAATTGCTGTGATGTCATTTGGGCATAGGCAGTCATATGGATCAGATTTGTTTGTAATTATTCCTAGCAGTATTCCTGCTGTATCATATTAGTCTGTAAACAGTCTTGTCTAGTATAGACAAACCAGGAACTGACTAATCCAGCTAAGTCAAGGTGTTTCACCACCAAACTGAGTCACCTCTTACAAGCAGTAGAGATCTGAGATCTGTTCTCACCTGGCGCCCCATGCACTTGCAAATCTGCTTTTTTATAAGCAGTCAACCCAAAACCAATCCAATTTAACACTATACATAATTATTTTGAGCTACAAAAATACTTTTCTGATTTCAACCTACCAAAGCAAATAGTTAAACAATAATATTCTGTAAACCATACCACAATGTGGCATAAGTACCTTCTAAATATGTACCTGTCTGTATAAACAAGACAGATGTTGATGTTGCAGGCTGTGGGAGATCTGTATCAGCCACCGCATCCTCTTCCTCCCAGCCAGGGGCCGGCCTGACACACACAGCTCATCGGCAACACAGGCATAAACACAAAGACAGGAGTAGCAAGAAGCACAAGAAAGAAAAAAAGGTAGGCCAAATGGTTACGGCATATTCTGGAATAAATTCATTCATAATTTTTTTTATCTTACCTCACACATAAATGTCATTTTCTGATTGACTGAGCAGAAACAGTGTACTCCGCTTACAAGCGAGTAACATTTTCTATGTTACCCACTGGAACTGTGGGAATTCGTTTGGTACTTCGTGTTAGTAGTGTTTGGGATGTTGCCTAACTCCAGTACTCTTTATTATGATCCAATACCTGTGCTTCAAACAGTTCAGAATTAACATTGAGGTGTTCGGTAAGATAAATACGTTGTTCACAGGTCCCTCGGGGCCCATGGGTTGATGTACCCTCTATGTTTGTTTATGTTCCCTGAGCCAAAGATAAACAAACATAGAGGGTACAACCCATGCCCCCCCTTGTGACCAATGAACAACTTATAATATCACATGGTTGGTTTCCAAGTTGTCTCATTCAAAAACAAATACAAAATTGTAAATTTGATTATGTTTTATTACGTATATATTTAATGCACACATCACAAATATATCAACATTTTCATGATCAAATTAAGGCCAGGGCTCAGGGAACATAAACAAACATAGAGGGTACATCAACCCATGTCATCCTCGTGACCAGTGAACAACTTATAATGTGGTTCTTCATATTCAAGTGCAACCACTGTGGACAAGGGCAGTTAGTATGAAGTGCACCAGAAGTGCAGTGTAAATATTAGTGAATTTGTGACTGAAATTATGGAACTTTATTTGAAAGGTCACTTCTGAGGTCATGCAATTGTGAACTGGCCTGTGGATAATAGTTTGTAAATGAGTGAATATGGACCAAACAAACTATTGAATGACATCATTAACATAATTAGCACATAATTTGAAACAGGAGGATGTAAAGACCCAAAAGAACTTTTATGCAAAATGAAACGCATATGCTATATTTTAAATGGTGTTACTTGAGAAATATCACCATGAAGATAATGAAAACAAAAGCTTTGTATTCCTATGGAAACAATCAAACTTTCTGGGGAAAAACAGTCATTAAAACTAGTGGAATACATAATGTGTTCCATTTTTTACAATGCTTGAAATTATTACCTTCATCTGACTTTTGCTTATTGACCATGCTCTACTCTAAAACTGCATTCCCTCGTAGTGTAAACATCATTTTCCTCAGAAAACATTACACTAATGAAATGTTTTGGTAATATTTTATATTTTTTACTGTGTTTACACCCTCCTCTTCAGAAACATAATACATACTTATTGGTGAGGGAGATCTAGAGGAATATCTACATGACAATAACTCCTGTCATGTGGCAGTCTTTGTTGACATTTTAGACTGTTGACTACATATCCAATTGAGCTTGAGTGCTGTTGCACTATTTTTAGCACTTTATATATACTAGCCACATACAGAAACTGTGCATTGTCAAAATATTATCCCAGTTGATAAGTACGATAACAATGTCAAAGGTACATATAAACTTTAATGGAGGGATCATGAGACCATAACAAGTCGGGAGAATTTCAATTGAAAAGTCAATCACAATGACGTCACGAGTCCACAAGCGGGACAGGGGTCAAACGACCATGTCACAAGCTCAATAACGGGTATGTCCACCATCGGCATTGAGAACAGCAGTGCATCAACGACGCATAGAGCCTATCAAACGTGCAAGGAAGGCTTGTGGGATGTCACGCCAGATTCTCTCAAGTTCTGTTGCAAGGTCAAGGACGTTATCTGGCGGATGAGGAAGACGGCGTAGACGTCGATCCATCTCGTCCCAAACATGCTCTATCGGGGAGAGATCCGGTGAATTTGCAGGCCAAGGCAGTAAGTCAACGTTGTGGTGTTGCAAGAAATCCATAGCAACCCTTGCCGTATGAGGGCGGCATTGTCCTGTTGGAATGTTAACCCAGGGCCATGACATTGCAGAAAAGGAATTGCCACAGGTCGAAGAATCTGATCCCTGTAGCCCATATTAGTTAAGTTGCCCTGAACAATCACCAAAGGAGTTCTTTGGCGTGCTGTTAATCCACCCCAAATCATAACGGAACCACCACCAAAGAGATTCCTCTCCAAGACACAGGCCTGTGCATAACGTTCTCCCACGCGTCTATAGGCACGTTGACGTCCATCACTATGGGAAATGTTAAACCTGGACTCGTCTGTAAAAAACAACATTTCTCCACCAAAACAAGGGTCTGCGGACATGATTTCGGCACCACATTCGGCGAGCTTGTCGATGACGTTGTGTCAGGATAGGCCGTATGGCGGGACGTCGTGGTCTGATCCCGTGATGACGTAAACATTGTCGAACTGTGTTGGGATGGATACGGCGATGTCCTGGGATGGTTCGGGCAGTCATCACTGCAGTCTGAAACCTATGGCGAAGATGAGTAACCCTTATCGTTCTGTCCTGTCTTGGCGTTGTTACACGTGGACGTCCAGAACGTGGCCGACCGATGACGTCATTTGTGTTCTGGTAGCGTCTCACCAGTGCAGAAATGGTGTTCCGGTGGCAGTGGAAATGTGCAGCCACTTGTCGTTGAGACATTTCCCCCACGGACCATCCCAATGGCCTCATGATGTTGTGCAGACGTGAGCCTTGGCATGCTATGCGTTTCAATATTTTTTTGAACGATCGCAAGGGCAGGGGTTGAGCTTTCCAAAGTGACAGTATTGTGTGGCATTCATTGGCTCTGTTTCTCTTTCCCGGAATGCACGTGCAACAACGTATTGCACGTCTCAAGGACAAACCCACTGACGTCACGGAACGTGCCGCGTGCATGCATGTTGGATACATGTCACTAATCTCTGAGTTTAAATCCTTATGTGTCTACACAGGTATGATAAAGTTAGATTTTAAATTTGTGTATGCACAGTTTCTTTATGTGCCTAGTATACATAGAACCGTGGGAATCAGAACATTCTGATGATGACCAAGGTCACCAGAAACCTTATTGTCAAAAAATAGAAATCATCAATTTTAACTCAGTGGTACAACCATTTTCATATAAACAACTGTACCCTTTTCACTACACCTGCCAGTTGTCAGGGTCATGTTAACACTATTATTTAGGTAGGATGCTTCAGGTTATAGGATCACTTGATGTATGCCTTGAATTTGTAAATTTCTGGCTATTGACCACATGGCTGAGATTAAATGTCTGAACTATTTAAGCAGAAGTTATTATCGCTTAGTTAATACGGTTGTCAGAGGAAAGGAAATGTCTTCATTAAAGATGAAATGTATTGGGCATGTATTCACATCACTAAACCAAACATTATTATAACCTGATATGACAAGGGTATATAGCATTAGATATCATTAGGTGTTATGAATATGGGTCTAAACTTTCCCCGGGGAGAATCTGGCCTAGGATATTCTTACCCCGGGAAAGTTTGGGCTAGGCTAAAAGTCTCTTCTTTCTCTCCCCGCCAAACTAGGATATTCCCTGTGTTTAAACTAGGATATTTTGTTAGGCTGTTTTCTATGAAAAGTGGGAAGATTCTGGCCTAGCTAGGCTACTTCTTGATATATTACTCTTTGCTATTGATTTCTTTTTAATCTCACCTGAGATATTGCCAGAATGAGAGAGTTTGGCCTAGGAAGATGAAGATGACCTGTAAATTGTTAAGGGAACTTCCACATGAATATCTTATCAAGGCCAAATAGCTTTGTAAGGTTTTTGGACCAGGGAAATTATGACCTGTTACAAATAGGTTTCCACTTGATTTGGTAGACTCAAAATGGTTCATGTTTCATGTTTATTGGGATAAGGTTTCAGGGATTCAGGAAAAGATGGAATTGCTTTTAAGGTTTGGAGATGCCAACCCATACGATTTTATCGTGGTTCATTCATTATGAAAAAACAACACAGATTAGATGCCAACTACGATAGCAGTAAAAATATACAAATTTTAAAAAAATAATACATGAAATCAAATTATCAAATAGCATAATGCATTCATACACAATAAATTTCAACTCCCATTTTATTCAGTATCAAGCTATATGTGGATACTTACTACTGATTTAGATGAGGACAATGTTAAAAACAAGGCCTTAGACTATATATTTACAATTTTTATTCAGTATTAAAATTCTTTGTAAAAGTTAATACTAATTTTTGCATCAGTTTTTGGCGAAAATACTAATTGGGCTAAATTAGGGTTGGCATCTCTGCTTTTGTTATTGTATGAACAATAACACCTTTTTAGTTCTGGTCACTTCTAACATGTGCACCCTGACCAACTGTCATTCTCTACCAGGCCAAGAATAAGAAGAGTAAATACAAAAAGGAAAAGAAGAAGAGGAGGAGGAAGAAGAGAACCGAGAGGAACCAGAGCTCCAGTGAGGATAGTAACACCTCAAGCTCTGAGAGTGATACAGCTGGAACATCAGACCACCAAATCTTGGAGAGGTAGGCACTGTATTGTGTGCTGGATGTGTGGTGCCTCACAATAGTCCTCATGACAAACATCCAAATCACAGCATGTCAATCTTGTATCAGTCATGTCTTTTGCACATCTAGGGCCAAGTACAAAACATGCGTGACAGCATACATAGTGTCTATCTAGTAAACTTCAGCTGTTGAGTGTGGGTCAAGGATGACGCGTGAGGAAGAAACCATAAAGTTTGCTCCATCTGCAATAACACGTTTTCATCCCTTGATCCACATGCATTGTGAATAGATTGTCTTGGCATATATAGCTGGAATGCTCCATGTTCTGCCTGTGAACACTTAGATGGCAACCAATTTGCTGTATCTATCAAAGCCCACTCAAGATGTATATCATATAGAGACTCGAAGCACAGATCTCAAGAGTTTGGACCCGCAACCTTGAAGTGCAAATGTTCTACAGAAAAAAGATGCTCATAAAAATCTCCCATACCGACAGATGATGACTTCCAAGACACTCCCTCTGACTTGTACCTCAACTAGATTTTACAGCATCTGTTCTGTCTCTCTGATGTGTCTACAAATCAGCCAACTCTTATGCCAACTGTGCAATCTCATGTGGTGTTCATCTCTCAATCACCTTTCATGAATAGCGGACAAGTTGCAACTACCTAACAATGTATCTTCAGGTGATCTGGATGATATCCATACACTCTGTCCCAAACGCCACAATTTGCTACTAGTTGTCGATCATCGTGAACTAGTTCACTTGGACTTGGTAAGAAATAAAACATTGTCTGCTATTAATATGATCCTTGCTGCCACAAAGGTGGTTGTGATGTCAGCTGCAAACAAATCAAATCAAATTAGACATTTGTATAGCGCTACATATCCAGAGTCCTGCTCATGTGCTCTTAGTCGAATGCTCATTTGAAGAGGATGGTTTTGGGACAAGATCAGAAACTGTTGATATTTTCTGATTTTCTGACATTTTCAGGTAATCCATTCCAGAGTACAGCACCCGCTCTGCTAAATTCTCTGTCCCCGTATGTTGTGGTTTGGACAGATGGGACATCTAAGCTTTGCTGACTAGCTGATCTGAGTGACCTTCCAGGCTTGTGAATGTTGACTGGTTCCTGGAGATAGAATGGAGCAAGCCCATTAATGAACCTTTAAACAAACACAAGAAGTTTGAATGCAACTCTGTCTTTTACAGGGAGCCAGTGTAAATCCTTCAGGACTGGTGTTATGTGCACATACATATGTGTGCGTGTTATGAGCCTGGCAGCTGTGTTTTGAACACGCTGTAACTTGTTCATGTACTGCTGCTGTATTCCATAGAGTACACTGTTGCAGTAGTCTAGCCGGGATGTCACAAATGCATGGGTTAGGCATTTTACTGATGGTGTGTCCATGTACCTGCTAATCTGTCAGATGTTCCTTAGGTAGTAATAAGCAGATTTGCAGATGTTACGGACGTGATTTTCCATGCTTAATGTTGAGTCAAAGATGACACCTAGATTTCAAGCATGGCTTTCTGGTTGAACAAACGTGTCTCCAATTCATCCAATATTTGATCTCAACTATGCAATTTGTTATTGTTTGCAGGGTATTCTGTACAGCAGATGCAGTTAGTGGCTTGAATCCGAGTGTCATTAGCATAGAGATGATAACTGAGATTGTGGGCTAAATCACCAACGGGTATGGTATATACAGTGAACAGGATTGGGCCTAGGACTGAGCCTTGTGGCACTCCAAACCTTAATTCTCTGCTCTCAGACCTTACCCGATTGATGATAACTGATTGCTTGCATCCTGTGAGATATGATTGAAACCATGATAACGCAACGCCAGTGACTCCAAGACGTAACTGTAGAGTTTCCAAGCGAGTGGAATGTTCTGTCGTGTCAAAAGCCACTGATAGATCCAAGAGGACAAGAATTGCTGCTCCCTTGGAATCAACAGCATGCAGAAGGTCATTCTGCACACGCAGCTAGCTGTTTCTGTGTTATGACCTATTTTGGATGCTGACTGCATGATATCACCAAGATTTTTGTCCAGGAGGTTTTGTTTCAGTTGGTTTGCTACAACACACTCTATCAGTTTGGAAATGAATGGCAGATTTGAAACTGGGCGATAGTTCTTAAAGACATTTGGTTCCAATGTTGGCTTCTTTAAAAGAGGTGTTATTAGTGCTTCATTCAGTAACAATGATACCTGGCATTGACTTAGTGACTGTTTCACCATGGATGTAATGGTTGGTATGACGGCTATCGTGTTTGTCCTAGACCAGATGTTTTCTTTTTTTTTCTTCTTTTTTTCCTTTTTTTTTTTTATTCATTTCAGTGGAGCATACAGGCTGGCATAAGGACGTTTGATGAAATGGTGGACAAGCATTTCAGTGAAGCATGCAGGATGACATTTGAGTATCATTTGGCGAAATAGTAAAACAAGCATTTCAGTGAAACATACAGGATGGCATTTGAATATCATTTGATGAAATAGTAAATCAGGCATGACATATGCATCAAGTACTAAGAGGGTATAGTCTCGAGCCCAACATGTATTACACTTGATTTTCATAAAATATCGTTGTACAAAAAATAGTGTAGTGAAATATCCATATGACATAGTATACATTTTGGTCCAGCCAGAACAATACTATACATAGCGCATGATACGCTGTGTTAGCATAGCACACAGTATAGCTAAATATAATGTAATAGGAGTAGAGCACTTTTATAGTAATTATTAGCACTTTTATAGTAGGTATTGCATCATATAAGAAAGATGCTACAGTTTCAATTCCTTGGGCCATTTTCTCTGGAACTTTGCCATGTTGTTATTTTATCTGGCTATATATCTTTCAATTGATAGAATTTTTTTTAGTGAATTTAGAAATTTGTCCAAAGTCGGTTTTCTATCATTTATACTGGCTAGATATATGAATCTTTTTCCAGCAAGAATGATGTTATCAATAAAAAGGTAGCCAGTGTTAATCCCCAGTAATATAGTAAATTTCGTAAATAGGATATTAATATTAACAGTGTTTTTAATATACATACTTAAGTCAATCCAAAAAGTCTGAACAATATCACATGAAACATACACATGTACAATGTCTTCAGATTCTTTTTTACAGAATATACAGTGATCATTATCTATTATTTTCATCTTTACTAATTCTTTTCTTGTATAAATAGCTTTGTGAATGAATCTGTACTGAAAATCTAAGAGTTTAATATCATTTGTACATTTTCTATAATTTAAGAAAATAGCGTCCCAAGGTATAGCAATGTTTATCAAAACTTCCCATTTTCTACACACATCAGGCAATCTATCTGATTTGATCAATTTGTCATAAAATATTCTACAGCCTTTTGAAGGTGTAAGCAGAGTTAATATCGCTTCATTAATACCAAGATTTTGATTTTCTAGTTTATGGTCATTTATTGTGGCTTTCCATGTATTGGGAATACTACTCAAAACTCTGTTGTAATCCAAAAAGGTACCTTTAACTAAAAAATCTATTCTTAAAGTCATCAAAAGATAATAATCCATCAGTTACATATATCTTTAATCTCAGTTACACCCTTGTTGAACCAACTGCAGATAAAAAGAGAAGGGTTTACAAAGTGATGGTTTAGCCACAACAGTTCATGAAGTATTTTCTCATAGTCATATTGATCAATTTTAAAGGAAGATCTATACCTCGTCCATGCCTGAAAAACATTCTTCCAATAAAGGTTATCAACTTCCTTAGATAGATCACTATTAGCTCCTAATTGGAGTAATGGTATAATGGGAACATTGCACGGATTATTGCAAGGAGCTCTACAAAGGCATCTTTTCAATGCTGTTATTTTTAGTGAGTCGATGAAAGAAAGGATATCCGTCATCCTAATTCCCCCTTCCCGGTGGTCCTTTTTCAATGTTACTCTTTTTATTTTGTCAGGTTTCCCATTCCACAGAAAAGAAGAATATTTGCTCTAAGTCTTTAATAAAAGCATTTGGTGGATTAGGTAGAGCTGTAAAGATATGAACCAAGGAGGAAAGAGCTAGAGTTTTAATAACTGTAATTTTCCCGATAACAGTTAAATGTCTTCTTAATTTTCTTAAAATATTCAGTATTAGAGCCATTCTTTTTTTAGTGTTGATAACCCAAAGGTCGTTCAACTTAGCGTTTAATACTATACCTAAGACCTCAAAGTTACCAGAAACCCAATCCAGTATGTATTCACTACAGATTATATCTTTACTATTAATCATAGCCCCTAACCATATTGCTTTAGTTTTATCAACATTAATTTTCAATCCTGAAATTCTATAAAAAAGAGAGAGAGTATCCATAGCTGCCTTTAGACTATCCTCTGTGCCATCCAAGAAAAGCTGAGTGTCATCAGCATATTGGCCTAGTTTATATTCCTTACTGTTTAGTACAACACCCTTGATATCAGAATTCCCACGGATCATAATGCCTAGAATTTCGGCAACAAAAAGAAAAAGATACGGTGAAATTGGGTCCCCTTGACGACAACCTCTCGAATTAGGGAAAAAGTCTGATAAGTGGCCATTTTGAATGACACATGAAGTGGCATTACTTGTTAAAAGGGATATCCATTTGAGCATATAGTTGCCAAATCCGAACTTTTTCATAACAGAATAGATGAAGGGTTTTGAAACAGTATCGAAGGCCTTTTCAAAGTCAATTAACAACAGGAGCCCCTTAATGTTTTGTTTTCTAGTTTTAAAAATAATGTCATAAAGGAGTCTTATATTTTCACTAATACATCTCCCTGGAATAAAACCGGTCTGATTTTCCTGTATTAAATAATCGAGAGTACATTTTAGTCTATTAGTAATGCAAGCACGAATCAATTTATACACAGAATTTAACAGAGAAATTGGACGCCAATTTTTTAGCAGTTTTCAGTCTTTTCCTTGCTTAGGTATACAAGTTATTACTCCCCTGTTCATAGTTAAAGTAAGATAATTATTTTTGAATGCTTCATTTATATAGC